AAAAAAAAAAAAAAAGAAAGAAAGAAAAAGAAAAGAAAATAAGCCAGGCATGGTGGCACACCTGTGGCCCAGGCTACTTGGGAGGCTGAGGCAGGAGGATCGCTTGAGTCTGGGAGGTTGAGGCTGCAGTGAGCTATGATCATACCACTGCACTCCAGCATGGAAGACAGAGTGAGAGTGAGACTCTGTCTCAAAATAATAATTAATAATAAAAATATATTAAAAATACAAAGAAAGCGGACAGGCTCGGAGACAGCTTTGCCTGAAGACTCACAGTATTTCAGTGGCAACGTGGGATTCGAACCTAGATCTGTGAGGCCCAGCACCTGGTATCCTTGGGGTTCCTTACAGACCCCTGAGGCAGAAATGAGGGTCAGGGGTTGAACATGGGAGCACAGCGGAAGCCAGTCCAGCGTGGGAGGCTGAGCTCTGCTCTCTGAAGATGGGCCTCCCGGCTCAAGGGGGCCACCGGGGGGGGACTTCCTCCCGCCAGCGCCACAAGGGTACCTGGAGCCCCGTCCTCCTGGGACTTGGCCAGCGCCGAGTGGTCCTCCAGGGCCTGGCAGCTGCCCAGGCCCCCATCCAGCTCCTCCCAGGCTCTGGTTGTCATGGAGACGGCCGGAGCAGCAGCAGGTCCAGGCCAGGCTGGGAGGGGTGGGAGCAAAGCCTTGTCTTTACCGAGTCCCCGCACGGGCCTGGGCCTGACCTGAAGGTTCTGTAGACGTGGACGAACAGGCCCCATCCTCCCCCCACCCAGCCTGTGATCTCTGCCTCCAGCACCCCTCACTCGGCAAATTGATACTCATGCAAGACATGGCTTGGCACCCATAGGCACCTCCCTGACCCCGCATGCCTGCCCTGGGGCCCCTCCCTGGAGCCCCGTATCCATCAGCACAGCAGCCAAGGCTGTCCTGGCCCAGAGAGGGCAGGAGCTCCCTCGAGGCCACAAAGCACTGAGTCCAAGACGCACCCGAACCAAGACTCTTGGCCCCAGCGCCAGCTCATGTTCTCTGAGACCAGGGACTATTTTTATCTGGTGCCGGAGGCCAGCGGGACAGGCCAACAGGTGCCCCAGCCCCTCCCAGGCCTCTGCTCTCATGGGGTCCCCCTCTGGGCCATCCTGACCTGCCATTCTGGGCACCCACATCCCTGCCTTGTGACCCTATGAGGCCACAGGCTCAGGCCCCAGCAGCAGAACCATCCTGGCTCTGGCGATGACAGGCAGGGCAGGGGAGGAGGGTCCCGGGAGGGCTTCTGATCCTGACACACAGTAGCTGCCTCACTGTCCCACTAACTCTGTTCCCATATGACAGATGAGACAGAGCCATGGGCTGGAGGTCACAAGGGACTTCAAGTCAGACCCAAAGCTGTATTCTTCAGGGTCACCATGGGCTCTGGCTGCTGGAATTACGGTGCCCCTGTATCTAGACTGAAAAACCACCCACCCCTGGGGCTCCAAGACCTGGAAGGGGCCTGTCGCGTGGCAGTGGGGGAGGGGCCGACAAGCACGGGAGGCTGGTGTGCGGCCCCCGGATGTGTGGGGGGGCAGCTCCAGGAGTTGGGGCCCCTCACGGTCCTCCGCAACACCCTCCCACACCCCAGGAGCCCACACCTCTGCCCGGGACTCCCCCAGCCTCACTTCCTCACCCCTAGCCTCACTCACCCGCTGCCGCTGCGCGGAGCTTTGTGGACAGGATAGAGGTGGGGAGGGCTGCCCCGTGATGGATGGCAACAGGTGGCCAGAGACCTCGGGAAGGCCAATCAGCATGGCCGCCGAAGTGAGGTCACTGCCGGGGAGTCCCCCACCCGTCCCTGCCATCCCAGCAGGGAAGGGGCTGCTGTTACTCAGCGCTTGCCACTGCCCCACCACGGAGAGGTGGCGCCGGCAGCTGGGACTACAGGCGGGCGCCACCACACCAGGCTCATTTTTGTATTTTCCGTAGAGACGGGGTTTCACCGTGTTGGCCAGGCTGGTCTCGATCTCCTGGGCTCAGGTGATCCGCCCACCTGGGCCTCCCAAAGTTCTAGGATGACAGTAGGATGACAGGTGTGAGTCACCACGCCGGTCTCCACACCTAACTTTTTGAAGAGCCACCAGCCTCTTTTCCAAAGTGACTGCACAGTTTTACCTGCCCATCAGCCATCGGGAGTGTTCCAGCTTCTCTTTATCCAACTTGTCACTTTCCAATTGCTTTTTTTATTTTTTTATTGCCAGCCCAGTGTGTGTGAATGGCATGACATCATTGTGGTTTTGATTTGCATTTCCTTGGTCAAAATAAATAGCTTTTCTTTCTCCTGGCTCACTGCAGCCTCCACCTCCAGGGTCCCGGTTCAAGCGATTCTCCTGCCTCAGCCTCCCAAGTAGCTGGGATTACAGGACCATGCCACCATGCCCAGCTAATTTTTGTATTTTTAGTAGAGGCGGGGTTTCACCATGTTGGCCAGGCTGGTCTTGAACTCCTGACCTTGTGATCTGCCCACCATGGCCTCCCAGTGT